ATAAAATGAAGCAAAAAGTTTTTGAGTCAAAAACTTTAAATATTTACCTTGTCGATGAAGTCGCAAGCCTCTTTCTTCTCCTTTGAAGGGAAGTGAAAGACGGCGTGAGGAAAGAGAACGCCGGCCGGTTCAAATCCGTCGCCGGACAAGAAAAGTGGGCTGCCGGGATTGATGGGGGCTACTCCTTCGTTTTCCATTCTTAAAGTATTTCTCAAGTAAGATTCTAAAGCCATGCTTAAATAAAGCTTAGAAGTATGTAAGCCTTTATTTATAAAGATTTAGGGTTTGTCTTGGAACCATAAACCTAATAATGGTAGTGTGTCCGAGTGGTTTAAACCATTTTTGGAAATCGAGAAAAAAAAGCACTTTTTGCATTAAAGACGAGCCGTTTTCCTTACTTATAAGAAGGGAAAGGGCAACCGTCGCATTTACTACAAAAGTTTCTAAGGCCCAAGCCCAGTAAGTTTATCGAGTTGACTAAACCCGAAGTGGGGAACTCGCTTTAAGCCGAGCTCAGTTCTCGCATACTAAAGAGAAAGGTCTGATCAGCCTAAAAATCTCGAAAGCATTGCCACAAGGCCACAAAAGGTTAAAAAGCGGACTTTGCAAACCCGCATATAATTTTAACCAAACCCCCTTGGGTCACAACCTAGAAAGGTTTAAAAGCCTCATCAGGCAAATATCTTGAAAAAATAATAAAGCCTCCTTAGGCCAAAAACAATAAAGCCTCCTTAGGCCAAAAATAAGTTTGGAATTAAGTCTTAAAATTAAAGGGACAATCCCCAATTTAAAGTGGACACAGCCACTACGGAGTGATCTCCACCTCGGACTCCGGCTCAGCAACCAGAGTTTCATTCACCTCCTTGACTGGTGCTTGATCAGATGAAGCTCCCTGACCACCCTCCGCGGTACAACCAACCTCCGGAGTGACCTCCGGTACCACAGGAGCTGCGGGCGGGACAATGCCTTCCGTCTCGCTGGAACCTGGAAAAAATAATTCCAGTCAATCAAAGGTACAAGGTAAGAAAAGGTAAGCCTCAGGAGACAAGCGTTACCTGCCCAGTCTAAACCCGATTCACTTATAGGAGGTGATTCAGTAAAGAATTCCTCGAAGTCAAGCGGGTTGAAGGTCGAAGTGGGAAGAGCTGCCAAGCGACTCCGTTTTTCAGAAAGATTAGTTGACAGCTCAGTCCTCTCTTGCTCCTCAGAGAAATCTGCTTCATGGATTTGATCCAGCAGAATCAGGTTGCTTTCATGCTCTTTGATGTCTGACTCTAAGTCCGACCTAGCCTTCTCAGTTTGCATGAAGCGAATGGCCCCTTGGATCAACTCCATCCCGCGTCCCTTAACCTCCTTTCTGGCCTTCGATGCCGACCTTGCCAACTCAGAATCACGCAACTTGGCTAGCGCCTTGTATTTCGCGTAAAGCTCGATAAGTTGGTTGTTCAGAGTGTCGGCGGTTGATTCGGATTCATGAAGTCTACCCTGAACACCAGAAAGTTCGTCCTGGAGTTTGTAATTCCGGTCGTAGTAGTCTTGCAGCTCCCCTTTTACCTGCGCCAGCTCGGATGTTAACCTGTCGACCTTATCCTCCAGATCGTGCTTGGAGCCAGCAGAAGAATTGAGTTCAGCCTCAAGAGCTGAGAATTTCTTCTTCCACATATCAATCTCCTTCTCCCGTCCAATGACCAACCCTTCGTAATGTTCGATCATGTCGTTAAGTTCGCTATGAGCCTGGTATCATACATGAACCCGGGATGGCGAGTCAGTTCGCAGAATGGCAATACATTAAAAACAAAAAAAAAAGAAAGGAAGAAAACGGAACTAACCCGAGATGAATGATAAGCGTGAAGCAAATAGCGTTCACGAATTGCAGGGCGCCATTTGTTGAAATCTGGCAAGACCGAACCCGAACGGGTCTTGAAGCATCGGAAGACGCTTCCTTCTGTCTCCATAGCTGCGAAGAAGGAAGAATTGTAAAAATTGGAATTTTAATAAAGACAAAAAGTTTAAGCATGTGCAAATCACCAAACCTGAAAGCGATTTGACTTGAGGGACAAGAGCAGGCTTCAGTCTCGAGGAAGCATCTCGAGATTCAGAATCTCCACTTTTAGGGGATGCACTCCGAGCAGTCTTTTCGCTGATGGGCTGGGAAGAAGAAGACATGTCAACAGGTCGGGGAGGACCCATTGGTTCAGTAGGAGGGGAGGATCGAGGTGAACGGTCAGTCCGGGCCCTTGATTTCTCCCTTCGCGGAGACGAGTCATCACGGGACGACTTGTCCCTCTTCTTACGAACCAAATTTTTAAGTGGTTCGTTGCTGAAATCGTCTCGGGGAGGACGAGGAGAATCACGACGAGGAGACCGCTCTCTCCGAGGAGAACGCTCGTCGCGGCGCTCGCGGCGAGGTGTTAACCTATAAGCAGCAACGGATCTGGCTCCCTCGGAGCTGTTGTCATCGACCAGCAGGGTCCTGCTGTAATCTTTTTTGTCAATGGCGGTCGCAAGGAACGCCTTGTTTTCATCACAAGCCTCTGCTATCGGCTTGGAGAGCTTCTTACGCTGGGCAGCGAGGGCCCGAGCTGACATTCCCTGAGTTGAGGGAGGAGGCGGAAGACGATGAAGTAGATTGGGAGGACTCATCCTGAGTTTCCGGTTGGTCTCGACGATCCGGTCGAGGGTGAAAGAATTCCAAAGGGTTTCCCCTTCAAGGATTGTTTTGAAGAACTTGACAAATTCTTCGGTCGGGAGAGTTGAAGCGATGAAAGCTGCGAAATGAAACAACGAATTCGGTCAGTAAAAAATAATAATAAACAAATAAAGGAATATACGACCTAGTCTCTACCAGGTTTCGCAGACCACTTCGATGGGAGTACATCGGAAAGATTCCCAATCGAAGCGGGAGTTTTCTTAATCAGAAACCAAGGATGGTGCCAGTTCTTATCCTTGTTCGGGAGGTGCGAGATGACGTTTCTATTGGCATTTGGATACGCTGAGAAGTACCCAGTTTTCTTTGATGAACTCCTTACGCTTAGGAGTTCATTCAGCTCGGGGACTCCAATGACGTAGTCGGCCTCCGCCGCAACGGTTATAATCCCGAGGATGGTTCGGAGGAGATTGGGGGTTAATTGAGGTAAAGCGATCTCGAGAGCCGCCAAGAATCGAACTAGGGCTTCGGGAAGGGGGAAGGTCAATTCGCAGCCCTTAAAGTAAATTTCATAAACGCAAAAGTAGCCAACACGGTGGTTCTCCGGGGATTCCGTAGGATCGGCTATTTGCGCCTCCGCTATAATTCCATGGGGAATTTGACAAAGCCCCTTCAATCGCTCAAGGGATTGAAGAGTACAGGTGGATTTGTAATGAGGACCGGCGATGTCGTTAGGACGAGTGCATTCGTCATTACTAGAACGCCTCTCGTCGTAAGACGGAGATTCAGGTCTTTCAGAATCAGAAGTCATCGAATAAAAATGAAAAAATTCAAGATCCGGCGAAGAAAGGTTTTTGGTGAAGGAACGAAGAGAGAGGTTTTGATTAAAGTACAAAAGTAAAAGAAGAGAGTAATGGTGAAAAGAAGTTACCTCAAGCTAATGATGAAACCGCCTCGGAAGTCGTGTGGGAAGTGGGAAGGTTTTTCCCGTTTTAATAGTAATTAATCAATATACGGTCATAATGATGACAGATGTCACTCGGTTAAAAATGGCTAGTGCCGAAATTAAAGGAGTGATGAGATTTTCGGCGGGAAATCAGAAAGATTCTCGAGCGCAATCTTTGGCCACTTGAGCATTTAAAGTCCTCCGAATTGGAATAGCACTTCGAAGAACTTGGGGGGCTAATTGTTGGTGTCGGATCCCGCACCAGAAGTACGAGACCAACCAAAGATTGCCACGTAATCAAGATAATGGCCCATAAAGGATGAAGCCCATTGGACCCGTGAGCTGGAGGGACGGTCGAAGTGGTTGTCACCATTTCGAGAATCCGAAGTGACTGCACTGTGACACGAGTTCGGTGTGGAAGACACGGGTAAGTCGGTTCAAGGACACTTGGGCCAAAAGAGGCGAGGCCCATGAAGATCAGAGTCAACTCAAATTCAAACGTTGAATATTAAAGCCAAAGAATCAAAACGGACACATTTAAGAAGAAATAATTGTACTTAATTGCTCATTTTAATGTCGTTTATCTAGGTATAAATATAGAGGCCAATGGCCATGTAAAGGAGGGCTTCCTCTCAAGAGAGAAATACTATAGCAATTTTCGTATCAATTCATAAGTTTTTACATATTCATTTTTGTCCCTCAAGAATAATCTTTCCTACTTAACAAAATACTTGAGTGTGTGAATCCGACATCCACAAAAGTATTGTCTACAAATATGTGAAAGTATTGGATTAGTTCAAAGATCTATTATCTCATTGTTTCATGTACACCATTAATATCATGTACACCATTAATATCATGTACACCATACATCGTATTTTATAGTTGTACACTATTATAGATTGTAGTTTGTACAATGTCATATCCAGTATATCAATTCTTACATCATGTGAGTATCATAAATTAATTTTTACATTATCATAGTACACTACCGTTTGTACACTATCTTTACATTATCATGTACACCGTCGGGTTGAGATTAAATATAAAAATTGTTATGTATCCAAAAAATATAGCAAAATTGGACTTTTTAGATTCATAAAAAAAATTAAAGATTAATATGTTATTGTGGTAATTTTTTTTTATGAAGAATTTTTATCAACAAAGTGAAATTATTTAAGTGAAATAGAAGAAAGAGAAAAATAAAAGTTTTTGACTAAGTCAATTATGTCATTATGTGAGTACATAAAAACAAAAAAGGATAAATATGTCATTTACTAATATCTCTATTAGAGAGAAAGGTGTATTAGAGAGGAAAGAGAAAAATATCTACTTTTCTAATTTTTTAAAAAAGTACCTAATTTACAAATTATTATTGGAAAAAGTGTCTACCTTACAAATTTTCTCTTTTATAATCTGAGGAGATAATACATATGCATCTCTCAACTCTTTGAACTAATCCAATACTTGTGTGATTTAAGACTTATTATTAGAAATGACATTAATTAATTGAGTGGAACAGGGTGGACGAGCAAGGACCGGACATGATTGACGGTCTTAGCCTTGTCAGGACAGCCATGGCCATCACCGTACTGATAAACACACTGAGCCACACGTCCAAGATTAACCGCAGCTCCTACGAAACCTTGATGCAAGTTACAACTCCTTTTCTCCAAGTTTAAGTCATCCCAAGCCACACCAATCGTTCCTTGAATGTCTATACGCGCGTGACTCTGCCTCCGAAGCTCCCGTTTCCTGCATGTGACATTGTACGGATTTCATAGTGTCGCCTCTCGCTAATTCCTCCTGTTAAAACAACTCTATTTAGGACGCTTTGAACACAAATTTCAAACATATAATTTGTCTGAGTCCCCAAAAAAGTTTGTTTACAATCTAATCGCTTATGATCTGTCAAAAAATTATATATTGTACGTTGTGAAACCATGACTGACCGAAGAAGTGGCGAGATCGTTAGCGAGACGGAGGATGGTGGCGGAGCTTCGAACTACAGAGTGATTGTAGGAGACAAGAATGTCTAAGGCTTGGTCGGAGAAGAGACAGAACAAGTGTAGAAGTATTGTAGGGACTGAACTTGAGATCCAACCATTTTGCATGTATTCTTCGAAGTTAGGTTTGTAACCACTTTTGTACCACATTGCCTCTTTCAAAAACGTTGTACACATATCTGCCCACTAAAAAGACAAAAATCATTTATAAAGAGATGTAGAGAAAAAATCATATAAATATTCATATATTGATAAAAAAAAATACTTGGTGACAAAAATATGAGAAAGGAAAACGAAATTCATTTATTTTCTATAAAATTGTTAGAAAACTTTGAAACTTAACAAAAGACTATTCGGTAGATAATTCATTGCTGCATCCTACGAGAACTTATAGCTAACTTCAACATATCACACAAATTATAGTGTCTATTATTTATTTTTATACTCTTATATAAACCACAAAATTGTGAACGGACCAACACCAATACACGCTAATTACATTACATAGATAAAATGCTGAGAATACGTACGGATTTTTTTGAGGTAAGGAATCACATTAAACCCTTTATCTCTGAGAACAAAATATCCAATCTGATTGATTTCGTTGACGAGGCAGAGAAAACATAACTTCATGTACTTGGGAAGTTCTTCAAGACGATTCACATCCCATCTGCATGATATATCGATTCACTGATGATTAAAAGCAAATATATATAGAACGAAATAGTTTGATATTATTTTCCATGGTATTGTTAGTTACTTTTCAACTATGGTTGTGAATAGTTGAAGCTCCTCCAATGTCCCATAAATATCGTATATATCGTCGATAGTTGTTATAAGCATGAAAACTTTTGTAAGCATTTGTCGGTGATATGCAAACTCCGGCTCATAGATTACTCCAACACTCGAGAAATAACTCTCCGTTATTCGATCTCTAACGAAATCGAGGTGTTTTGTTAATCCCGTCTTGCTCCACCAACTGCTTCACACATAGAAAAGATGAGCTATATAGAATTACACTTTATTATTATCTTTGAAAATTCTAAGATATAACGAATATTCTTGAAAGTCAAGTCACAGTTTTAACATATAAATTATGAAAAATCATGAAATTCCAACTAAAAACAATTAGTAGAGATTATTAGAGTTTAACACGTCTCTTTTCATTTCTATTGTGAGATTTTTAACACGTCTATCTTGAGATGATGGTTTTTTTTGCTCATTCATTTTTAGTTGGAATTCAAATTCTGAATCGGTTATACATGTATATGTTTACTAAAGTACTCTTAGAACATATGACGAACATGTTCTTTATATATTAATGATTTTCAGATTTCATGTATGATAACTCAAAGTCCACGAATCTTGAGTTACTTAATTCCTAACTTACCTAGAGAGAGATTTGAGCTCGTCTTGATGGATAGCTTGTACGAAATTGAAATCAAGTTTCGCGAATTCAAGCAAGATAGGGTTCAAGTCGTGTCTCTCTCCGTACACGTCTATGTACCACCTTGCTTCTAATCTTCCCACTCTCCGGTGGTACGGCATCTCTAAGGCATGGATCACCATCCTTCGAAGAGTGTAATATTTGTTCTCAGACTTATTAACCTCCACAAATTTTCTAAGTCGTTTTGTTGTATAGCATATGGTCTCTTTCAATTTAGTATCGATTCTGGTCGAGAGATATGAAGCTTCGTACAGTGAAAGAATACCCTTGATGTCTGTATCATCCAAATCATCTCCAATATTTCTGTCTAAAACATCTGCAAGATTGCAATATTAACAGCTGTAATTAGTTTATTATAATTTTTTTTTTCTTTTCTTAAAGTTCAAAACTAGAATATAGAGTCAGAACTGAAAACCAACATTTTTTTTTTTTTTTTTTTGAATAACCGCGGGTCTCCCAAAAGCTTTTTAGGCCCAAGGACTAATCCCACGAGGCTGGCAATTCCCCTATGTAAACCTGCCAGTGGCCATGCCTCGAACCCTGGTGGCGGAAGTCACAGTTGTGACCCCTTTACCACTAGGCCACAAGGCCCGGTTGAAAACCAACATTATATAATTCATTTTCGAAACTTCGAACTAAAAATTGAAAATTGAAAATTGAAAATTTGGATTCTATGTGAATAATCGTTTTTTTGTTTGCTTTCAACCTTCTGCGATACTAAAACCATGTTGCCGTAGGAGTCGGAACTCAAGGGCGGTCGCGTATAAGTCTTCCCAGCGATCTATCCGTTTTTGGTGTGCTCTCACATGTTTTACATGCACATTCGTTAGAGTCTTCTTGATTTCACGTTCAAAATGGTAAGAAACTCCAAGCCTCTGTAAAGTGTCAACGAGCTCTAGCTGTTCGAGTAAACCCTCAGTTTCATTGAGCATTTTACTCACTTCCTGCTTCAATAACATAACTCTCTCGATGTTGTCGGCCTCTTTCTGCATGATATAAACATAATATAATTATCACTATCTAACTTCCTGAATAGTAATAACACGACGTCATGTAGATTTTTATACGTACCACATATGTATTACCGAGCGAGAGGAGATACTCGTGCTCCCAAAGAGACGGTTGATAGTTTGCAGAGCGACGGGCTACAAGAGGCTGGGATGGTGTCTTTGACTCAGCCTTGCGAGTGAAACGCGGTTGAACATGTCGTTTAGGCATTTCTTTGCTTTGCTAATGATAACACTAAAGAGTTAAATAATTGGATGAACTCTTCTTTAGACTCCGCTATAATATTTTACTAGATTGTTACCCGCGGTACACCGCAGGTTGAATATTTTTATTATTTGTTATTTAATAATACAATAATAATTGGTTTTGTTTTATTTTGATTTTTTTTGGTGGTGATATATATATTTATGTATTATAGTTGGGATTGTGTTATAAGTTATCGATATTATTTGTGTATAACATGTTTTAATCGAGTCATATGTGTTACAGAGAAATTATTTCCTTTTATATTAATCGTCTAATCATTTATATCTAAAATCTGAGAATTATATTATGAATGCAAACAGATTGACATTTAACATATAAATGATTACAGAAAAATTATTTCCTTTTATATTAATCGTCAATCTGTTTGCATTCGTAATATAATTCTCAGATTTTAGATATCTTGTATTATATGATTTATTTAGATGTGAAGGATTTAAATAATTTTAATCAATATAAATTGCACGATAGTTTGATTTTATTAAGGAAAAATTAATTTTTGATCATGTAAATATGGCTGTGAATAGTTTTTTTCATATGCAAAAACTTATTGTTTGAGATAATAATATGTTTTAATTAATTAGTTTGCATGATATATATTGAACTTAATAACATAATTAACATGTTAATACAAAATAAGGTAACCTCTCATACATGCTGGGCTGTAGACAACAAAGTCCTTTAATGTTACTGGGCAAAAAAAAAAAATGCAAAAGAACCGGTCGGATTAGTTGATCTGAACCGGTAACGTACCGACCGGTTAACACAGATTTGATCTCGTTGGTACAGTGAAGACGGGTCATTTTCAATTCCGCGAAACACAATCAACCTAACTTCTTCTTCTCCATTTTCTTCATCTTCTTCTCCATTTTCTTCATCTTCTTCTTTAATCTCGTCTTCTTCAGCTCAAAACCTAAACCAAACAAAACCTTAACACCACTTCTTCTCTCGATCAATCAATCAGCGATTATTGACCTTTAATCGACCATAGATTTTTCCTTTAATCCTCAGAGAAAACGTAATCGAGTGAAGACGGGTCATTTTCAATTCCGCGAAAGACAATCAACCTAACTTCTTCTTCTCCATTTTCTTCATCTTCTTCTCCATTTTCTTCATCTTCTTCTTTAATCTCGTCTTCTTCAGCTCAAAACCTAAACCAAACAAAACCTTAAAACCACTTCTTCTCTCGTTTGGTCAATCAGCGATTATTCACCTTTAATCGACCATAGATCTTTCCTTAATCGTCGATCCCAATTAACATGGCTTCGAACGGCGCTTCTCCGGTATCTTTCTCACTCGATATCTGTCTGCTACAATTTAGTATCTTTATTTTGGCTCCTTTTCTAACTGACAGTCTTAAACTGACCCATTTTGTCAATTTCGGAAAATGCGTAGAGGATTGTTGATGCTACTGATAACAGCTTGGATAAGATTCCGCAGCAATTGGAATCGAGGGTTATCGGAACTTGCTTCTGGGACCTCTTATTCAAGCGAGTTGAAACTGTAAGTTCAATTTTTATTCTGACAAAAGTATATTCAATAGTTTGTAACTCAAATGATTTTCAGTGTTCTGAGCACAGCTAAACTTTTAATGACATAGCAACTGTACTGATTAGCTAATCGATTAATGTGTGTTTGTCTAGGAATTAACATAGAATCCGACTAATTGAAAGTTAGAAACTCCTCAACTTAGCATAAGCAGATCAAAAAATGAAGAGAAGGTAAGAGTACAGTTAGTGATTTTGGGCGGCATAAAGGACTTTATGATGATTATTTTGAAGTATCTAACCCTTGCTGTATATTGAATAGGAAGCTTCTACCATCAGAAGACATCAGGACAAAAACCTGAAACCAAGGAGAATAAAATCTACATCCGCATCTATGCAAGGTTAGTTTACACTTTCTTCTCACTGAAATGTAGTTTATAAACATCTACAACATTTTCATTGATGTTAAGCTAAGATTAATTGAGTAAAAATGAGAAAACTAAATGATTGTGCATCTGCTTGATTGATTGTACTTTATTCAATACATAAAAAGAAAGACATAACCAAATATGACGAAAGTAAGAGTGTTTAAAGAAGTCAAATATAGTTAGCACAATAACTGGAATTGAAAGTCGATTGATTGGTTGTTACTTTCTTTTGAACCATGAGACATTGAATCTGTGAAAAGGTAAGTAGATTGTTAGTCAAATATATGATTGATTGACTGGGGGTTTTGCTTACCATAAAGCAATTATATTATAAAATAAAATGGTAAACTAAACATACCTTCTTTGATAAGATTGTTTGACAAATAATGCAAGAAGCATTATGAGTCAATATTCTGAAAAACTTCTTTGAAAACAACATTAGTTGTTTGCTTTTGAATCTTCCCTTCTTTGTCTAGAATCAGAATTTTCAAACCTGTCTTTGAGGTAACCCTAGATAAAGCAACATATAGTTGCCCATGAGAAAACACTGGCTTAGGCAGATAGAGTCCAACCCTCTCTAGTGATTGTCCCTGACTCTTGTTGATAGTCATGGCAAATGCTAGTGATACTGGGAACTGTCTTCTACGCATCCGAAAAGGTAGCTTTGTATCGGATGGTGTAATATTGATTAATGAAATCAAAACAATATCACGAATTCTGTCTCCGGTTATAACTCTTGCTTGAAGAACACGTGGGGTCATCTGAGTTACCTGAAGCCGAGTACCGTTGCATAGACCACCTTTAGGATCAATATTCCTGAGTAACATTATTGGAGCACCAATCTTCAGACGCAAAGCATGGTGTGGCAAACCTGGTAGCCTGATACTGTTTAAGAAATCTGGTGTGATAACAGGATTTTTAAGTGAATCGGAATCTTCAGGATCAATACTATCAGCACTGTAAAAAACTTGCTCATCACCTGTTGAAAAAATAAAAAAAACCTTTTAGCTGTAAGAAAGACTTGAAGGAAATAATTTCACATAGCTAGTAAGCTATGACTAACCCTCCAACTTGTCTAACATATATTGGTTGATTGTGTGTACATCATCATTGGTTGGCGCCAGAATTGCTCTCTTTTGAAAAAATACTGGATCTTCAGTACCTTTTAACATAGCTGGATCTCCATATATCTCACGAGTAATGGATTCAATTGGATCTTTTGCTTCGGTAATCAGAAGTTCTTCAGGTATATCAATTAGAGCCTCACCATCATTAGGTTCCGCAATTCTACCATCACCAACAGCTAGAAGCCAATCACTGAATTCTTTGATGTCTTTTGCTTCTTCTACACTCAAATCCTTCTTAAGTAGCCTCATGTTCTTAGTAAGCTTTAGAACCTTACAGTGATCCCAAAGATAAGACGCATTAAGAGCTGCCATCACAATCTCAGCCCTGCCTGCACCAGCGATAACAGGTAGAACTTGTCTAAAATCACCTCCAAAGACAACAACCTTTCCACCAAATACTTTGCTATCTTTATTACCAATGATATCACAAAAACTCTTATCTAGAGATTCAAAACACCACTTGCTCATCATAGGTGCCTCATCCCATATAATAAGAGAAGCTTTCTTTATCAGATCAGCAAGATCAGACTTCGGCTTTATCCTGCACACTGAACTGCTATCAGGTGTAAGAGGTATGGCAAACCTTGAATGAGCAGTCCTTCCACCTTCCAACAACAAAGAAGCGATACCACTTGAAGCCACGTTTAGAACTATATCTCCTTTAGATCTAATAGCAGCTGAAAGTGTTTTCCAAATAAAAGTTTTTCCTGTACCTCCAAATCCATACACAAAAAACACTCCACCTAGATCATTGAATACTGCAGTGGTAATCTCATCATAAACACCTCTCTGCTCCGGTGTCATAATATCTATCCACTCAGCATGCTTTTCAGCCAATGATGTACGGTCATACCTCATTTCATCAACAATCAAACGGTTAGAATTATCTATACCTTCTCTAGTTGGCTTAGGAAAGTTTTGTATATCTTCAAGAGTACCTCCATTAGACAACATCATTTTTTCTAGTTCTTGAAGTGTGTAGTTCCTAATTTCTGCCTCTGTCAGATTCAAATCTGCATATAAAATAAATGGCAATGTCAAGAAAAAAATAGAATCATTGCTTATTTAACTGAGAAAATGGATATGATATAACTTAAGCAATTTCATTATTTATCTCACCTTGATTGTCAAACTCATTTCTCTTCTTCTGTTGAATATCTTCTGCTAGCAAATGCCACGTCTGTTCCCAAACATATTCTGGCCTAGATAGGGAATCAGATAGTAGCAACATAGCGAAGAAATTCCTCAAAAAACCACCAAAACAGAATTGACTCGCATCAACCAGACTGTCAATGAACACCTGGTCATCATCTAGAATTCCTCGTGCAAAACATGCTTCTTTGTAAGTTGGATAGACAACACCATTATATGTTTTAATGTCATCAAAACATGTAGGACCTCTGACGATGTTAAGAAGGACTCGTAGAAAATATTCATCTTCTAGCTTCCTGGGAACATAATTAATCCGACCTAAGGACCATCCTCTAGACCTCTTATTCCACAGCTTATTAGTTCCATCCCATGTAAAATATGCAGGTATCTCTGCATATAGGAGTTCTCGAGCACGCTTTCCATTTTTTCCAATTCCATCATTCCTATTCAATGTTAGCCATGCCATGAATTGAGAATCTCGATTGAGAATTCTGTCCAAAACATCTGATATCACCTCTTTTCCTTTAAAATAAGCTGGTTGCTTTCCTTCTACATGAAAAGATAGCTTCAGAACAGGTGTTGATTTATGCTGTATCGGAAACTTAAAAATTCTCCAAATTGCTTCAGATGCTGACACATATCTACAATTTTGAATAATAAACAAATCCATTTCAGGATCCAGACTGACCAATCACAGAAATAAACTGAGAAAGAGCAAAATTAGGATACAATACCTGCAATCAAAATAATCTTTTATTTCATTCTTCTTTTTCTCCTCTGGTAATGGTTCTGATCCATTAGCTGTTTGATTTACGTGTGAGCCATTATCTG